ATGCTGCCGACAGTTTTATTTTCAATTTCTTCCCTAATGATCCCTTGCATGGAATTAGACTGAAGATAGATGCCAAATGAATGTTAGGAATAATTTCTTGCCCAACATTTATTTTTTATATTTACAATGTGTGTATACAATGTGCTTTTTTGTGTATTTCTGTGTTATCTATATAATGATAGCCATTGCAAACACATTTTTGTTTTAAAACAATATGTTTGCTTTAGCATTGGTGTTCCGTTTGTATTCACTGTTTTGTTTAATTAGCTCTTTGTTAGCCCCCCTTTTAAAATCACTTTCATTTTGTTATTTGCTCATTAAATGCACGCTCATTTGGGTAATTGCTTTGTTTTCTTTCTCCTGTTTCCTTGTTGTTTCCTTTTTTCTTCTTTTCTTTTCTTTTTTTGCCATCTCAAGTGGTGACAGTCGGAACAGCAGACCAGATTTCAGAAGCCATTCCTCATGGCTGCCATTGCATTTCCTCAAAATGCCTTGAATATTGCATTGCTCTGAAGCATTCCAGGGAAAGCTGGGGTGGCTCCCATGCAGGGCCACTAATTTTTGGTTTATGTGGCACCCACTATTCTCTCTCTCCGACTTTTATATCCCCCTCCCCTCCCCAGGAGATCCCGGTTCTCCTCCCCCTGGTTCTCCTCCCCCTCCTCATTAAACCCTGGTTAGGCTGAGAGGCAGTGACTCTCTGAAGGTCCCTCCATGAGCATCATGGCTGAGTGAGGATTTGAACTCGGGTCTCCCAGGCCCTGATCCAGCACTCTAACCACTCCATGGCCCTGCCTCTCTATTCACCTTGTTACAAACCGCAGAGTGGCTTGTGCAAAGAACAACGCAAGAATCGCCTAAATCAGGCACGTCCAACTCCCAAGAGAATGTGATCTATTCTCAGTATTTAAAAACTGCCATTGTCATTGGAGAGAGGAGGAGCATGCATTTTGGGGAGGAGGATTGCCCAGAGTTGTTGAGCTTTTTTGGGAGCAGAGGGACCTAGTGCCAGGGGCAGCTACATTCCTTGCCCATAATCAAACAGGATGCCATAATCAACCCGCAATAAACCTGGAACACCCCAGAGGCTGTAGGTCGTGGTCAACCGGTTGGACATGTCTGGCCTAAATGAATAAATCCAGCTGGTGTGGAGGGCTCACTGGTTCTGAATGGGGTAACTGTGCCCCTGAAGGACCAGGTGCGCAGCCTGGGAGTCATTCTGGACTTACAGCTGTCCATGGAGGAGCAGGTCAATTTTGTGTCCAGGGCAGCTGTTTATCAGCTCCATCTGGTACACAGGCTGAGACCCCACCTGCCCGCAGACTGTCTGGCCAGAGTGGTGCATGCTCTGGTTATCTCCTGCTTGGACTACTGCCATGCGCTCTACATGGGGCTACATTTGAAGGTGACCCAGAAACTGTAACTAATTCAGAATGTGGCAGCTAGACCCGTGACTGGGGGCAGCCGCCGAGACCATATAACACCTGTCCTTAAAGACCTACATTGGCTCCCAGTACGTTTCCGAGCACAATTCAAAGTGTTGCCGCTGACCTTGAAAGCCCTAAATGGCCTCAAAGGCCCAGTATACCTGAAGGAGCGTCTCCACCCCCATCGTTCTGCCCGGACACTGAGGTCCAGTGCTATGAGCCTTCTGGCGGTTCCCTCCCTGCGAGAAGCAAAGCTACAGGGAACCAGGCAGAGAGCCTTTTCGGTAGTGGCACCTGCCCTGTGGAACACCCTCCCATCAGATGTCAAGGAAATAAACAGCTACCTGACATTTAGAAGACATCTGAAGGCAGCCCTGTTTAGGGAAGTTTTTAATGTGTGACATTTTAATGTAGTTTTAATCTTTGTTGGAAGCCACCCAGAGTGGCTGAGGAAACCCAGCCAGATGAGTGGGGTGCAAATAATAAATTATTATTATTATTATTATTATTATTATTATTATTATTATTACAGAAATCCCACATACTGGCTGCTTTCAGTTGATGGGGTGGGGAGTCTGTAGCACGGGGAGATGATTCTGGAGCGCCGTCTGAAATGCACTTTTCTCTCAGCCCACAGTTCCCCAACCTCCTTTATTTTGTCTGCCGTGTTTCTTAGGAAGAAGCAATCGATGGATGCTCAGTGTGTTGACAGAAACACACCATGTCCTTCTGCCCACGAATTATGGTAACTGTTACAGCACATGAAAATTCAGATCTATTAGACTGGCAAGCCATTGTGATTCGAAATGATAAGCTTGCGTGGCTGCGCTCCCCCCTCCCTTGTCCTCCTGCTATTAGGAATAATTGAGTTTTACAATTGCCCGTGCTAATGTTTGCCTCGTCGCCAGTTTTCTTTCTCCCTTTTTGCCATTATCCTGCATGCAAGGAGACAGCCTTGTGTATTAGTTATGTACTTTCTTGCTGTCTCTGGTCTTGATTAAAACTCCTTGATTAAAAGTCTGCTTTTGCTAATAGCTGTATGAAAGCCATTTTGCCTCTGCTTTTACTCTCCCCTTCGCCAGCAATCAAAGATGCTAAATGCTCCATCTGACACAACAGCGCATCTCTCTCCACAAAGAATATAATAGCCTGAACAATAAATGGAAAGCTGGGTTCCTTTTATAAATTGTTTTCCCATTATAACAAGAAAAAGAAAGAAAGAAGCAGTGCTGTAAATTACTCTGAACTGACCACATCATGCCAGCGGGGTTAAAATCCATTAATGTCTCGTCCGTTTTGAAATGTCCGCTTTGGAAATATGAGGATCGCAAATTTCATCATTGCTTTTGGGCAAATGAGTGAGAGTCGAAAGGAATTTCTATGGAAGGGATGTGATTTTCTGCAATGTTCTGCTCTGCTCCCCTTCCTGCCCCAGTCGCTTCCCCTGGCATCTGGCATCACGTACAGTGGTACCTTGGAACGGAATCTGATCCCGAAGTCCGTTCGACTTTCAAAACATTGGGAAACCAATGCAGGAAACTCCTGCAGCCAATCAGAAGCTGCGGAAGCCGCGTCAGATGTTTGGGTTCCAAAGAACGTACGTGAAGTGGAACACTCACTTCCGGGTTTGCGGCGTCCGGGAGCCAAAACGTTCAACTCACAAGGTGTTCGGATCCAAGGTACAACTGTATCTACTTTAAAGCCTCCCTTCAAAGCCACCAACAGGACTACACACTGGGGGGGGGGGGGCTAAAAAAGAAAGAAAGGAAGGGACAAATGCCTGGATTCTGAATCCTGTAGCAATGGGTGAATGGCAATGTTTTATTGGAATTTGATCTGAACATTCAGTAAAAAGTTCATTTTTCATGCCATTGCGCATTTACCTTGAGATGCAATATTGTCCTGAGTTTTCCGAGCTGACGGAATGGGGATGGGGGTGCAAGAATGGGATGGCTGCTGGTTTGGAGGTTTGGCGCTGCTTTTAGGACGAGAACCATCTGCCTGAGCTCCTGCCTGCTTCCTCCCCTACTCTTACCAGGAAACAGACTCTGAGAAACAGATTTGGAATGTGGGAATTGTGGGAGGTAATTCCCTTGGCGGTGGGGGTGGTCAGGGGAGGGTTCAATACCAAATTCCCAATCAGCCAGACTTTATTTAGTAATGCATGTTAGAATTCCTGCTCCGTGATTGCAGTCATGGGATTGCAATCCCATGGGAAGTGACGGAGACAGGATGTTTGTGTTACTGTGTTCTGTGAAGTGAGACTATTGTCTTTTGTTCTTTTTCTCTTTGCTGTCTGATGCTAGAGAGAGAGGGAGCCATGTTGCAGTGCTCTGTGTGTGTTTATATGTAAAGAAATGCTGAGTTGCTGAGGTCTGTCACGCAAGGTGCGGAAACTCTGCGGATCCCTAAGTGTGCCGGTGTCTGTTGGCATCGGTTGCTGTGATGTTTGGGCTGAAGAAAGCTTTCGAAGCTCCCGAACGATCGACCAGGAGCGAGAGAACATGCCAGTCGGGCATGTGTCTCTGCCAGGGTTCTACTTGAGTCTAGAACAAGCTCCTGAAAGTCCTGAATTATTTGTGGGAATATATCCATTAGTACACACCCTATATGGGAAATATGTGTCATCTTGGCTGTTCAGCCAATCACCTTCTGCCATCCCAGCACCTCACCACCTCTCATCTAACCATAGTTCTTCGAAATGCTTACTCAACCCAGGTTTTCTTTGCTGTATATGCAGAGCACTCCTTGCCCCTTAGCTGCAGTTGTTTTCCACTATAAAAGCCAGCACCAGATTCCTCCTAAGGTGGTTCTTACCAGTTTTGCAGTCAGCCAGCGCTCTTGCTTTGTGACAGTGATAATGGGTTTTGCAGAATTTCTACCTCAGGGTGTGTCAGGCAACAGAGAGAAGGCGAAACAGACAATCATTATATCAATGCTGTACAGTGGTACCTCGGGTCACATACTCTTCAGGTTACATATGCTTCAGTTTACAGACTCCCCTAACCTAGAAATAGTGCTTCAGGTTAAGATGTTTGCTTCAGGATAAGAACAGAAATTGGGCTCCGGTGGCGTGGCGGCAGCCGGAGGCCCCATCAGCTAAAGTGGTGCTTCAGGTTAAGAACAGTTTCAGGTTAAGTACGGACCTCCGGAACGAATTAAGTACTTAACCCGAGGTACCACTGTATTATAATTATGGCCAGCTCATTGTATCTGGGCTTTTCAAATGAGTGGCCAATAGAAGCCTTGCAGGTGAGTCATGCCTTGCAGTGAGCCAGTGTGGTGTAGTGGTTAAGAGCGGTAGTCTCGTAATCTGGGGAACCGGGTTCGCTTCCCCGCTCCTCCACATGCAGCTGCTGGGTGACCTTGGGCCAGTCACACTTCTCTGAAGTCTCTCAGCCCCACTCACCTCACAGAGTGTTTGTTGTGGGGAGGAAGGGAAAGGAGAATGTCAGCCGCTTTGAGACTCCTTTGGGTAGTGATAAAGCGGGATATCAAATCCAAACTCTTCTTCTTCTTCTTCTTCTTCTTCTTCTTCTTCTTCTTCTTCTTCTTCTTCTTCCTCTTCTTCAGGCTCTGCCTTGAAGGCCTCATTGAGTTTATGGAAGAGACTGAAGACCCACTTCAGGCCATAAGGTCATGTTCAAACACTGCTTCGTCCCACCTCCAAGAGCGCCAGCTGTCCAGGCTCATGAATTCTACCAACGAGCTTCAGAGTTACCTTACGAGAAGTTTTGAAACATGCTTTGGTTACAAAAAGGAGATAAACCGGTAAATATGATATCTATAAGGTGATGAGGAATCTATTGAAAACAAATTCAATAGAGGCCATCAAGACTAAATGAATGTTTTATTAGATATATAAATCTTGTGCTCCACTATTAAGTCCCGCTTGGATTTATTAAATTCTGTGTGCTTTGAGGAACACACTCGAATTGTAATAAAAAAGACGGATTGAATCTCATCAAATGTTAATAATCCTCAAGCAGGTCGATTAGATCTTCTGCGATGTGGGTGAATATTGGAAGCCCTAATATTTGTTGGGAAACATTCGGCAATCAGAGGCCGTGGGCATGAAGCTATGACGGCTGCAAGGTATGAGGCTGGCAGTTCTCCTGCTCAAGTTCTACACCGCTCACTTAACAACTTAAGACGAGTCTGCTGGGTCAGGCCCATCTAGTCCAGCACCTTCTCCTCCCAGTGGCCAACCAGATGCCCCACTGGGAAACCAGCAAGCAGGATCCGAGCCCAAGAGTTGAAGCCCCTCCTGTGGCTTCAAGCAGCTGGTGTTCAGAAGCATTACTGTTTCCAACTGTGCAGAACAATCCTGGCTTGTAATAATAATAATAATAATAATAATAATAATAATTTTTGTTTATACCCCACCCTCCCCAGCCGAGACCGGGCTCAGGGCAGCTAACACTAGGTATAAAAACAATTCATTAAAATGTAACTTAAAAACAGGATGAAAATACAACTTAAAATGCAGCCTCATTTCAATGGAAGCCCAGATCAAAAACTGTTTGGGGGAAGAAAACGTCAAGTCTTCACCAAGGCCAGCTATCCAGACTGGTCCTACGTGGGCCAGAAAAAAGCCAGGGAAGTCCTCAAATAGGGGTTTCATCACAGAAGGAAAAGGAAAGAAGGGGAGGGGATCAAGTTGATTCCAAGCCAGGCGGAACAACTCTGTCTTACAGGCCCAGCGGAAAGAAATCAGATCCTGCAGGGCCCTGGTCTCATGAGACAGAGTTTTCCACCAGGCCGGGGCCAGTGTTGAAAAGGCCCTGCTCTGGTTGAGGCAGGGGTCTGGAACCTTTAAGACAAAAAGAGCCACTTGGACCCATTTCCGAAGAAAAAAAAACTGGGAGCCGCAAAACTCGTCATTATAAAAATAACTTTTTTTGTCACTTTTTTATTATTTCTTTGTTTGACCCCTCAGAATTACTCCTCCTCATAGAAATAAACATTAAATTAACAAATTACCTTTTTGTGTGTGTGTGCTCTTCACTCCCCTTCAAAACAGTGACCAGCGTACATGCCCCTTACAATGCAGCGGGCGGGTGGGCGGGCGGGAAGGTGATGTCGGGACGGTGCGTGACTAATGCATGCACCGCCCCCATGCGACGTCACAGCCAGTACAGCGCCCGCCACAGTGGGGAGTGTTGGGGTGCACAATGCGCCTCCTCCCCTCGCTAGTATCTGCCCCGGAGCCACGGCAAAGGTGTAAAAGAGCCACATGCGGCTCCGGAGTCGCGGGTTGCCGACCCCTGGGTTGAGGCTCACCTGACTTCCTTAGGGCCCGGGATCTCTAGGGTGTTGCTATTTATGGACCTTAAGGTCCTCTGCGGGGCATATTGGGAGAGGCGGTCCCGTAGGTACGAGGGCCATTGATAGTCCTCTCCTCCTCCATGAATTTGCCCAATCCTCTTTCGCTAAGTATTTGTAGCTCAGCTGTATTGTTTCCTTTTCTCTCTCCTTTCATTCCTTTTTCTTGTTCCACTTGTTCTTCTTCGAGGCTGCTAACTGCTTTCTCTCCCTATGTAACAAAAGGAAACAGACGTATTTGATGGCGGGAGGAAGCCGCCAAGGTGGATGGTCTTCGCCGCTACCTGTGGGAGAGAGTTCCGCAGCTGAACTCTCCACCACATGAAGAAGTTTGGCCTTCACATTTGTTTTCGTGGAACTTGCAGAGGAGAATTTGCTTAGGGATATGGCTAACAGACAAGGCTAGTCCCTAGGGCAAAAGAAGAAGCACCACAGCCCAGCAGGGGAGCACCCATGGGAGCCCACAGAAGTAATTCTAGGAGGACGGGGAGTTCCAGATCCGCAGTCTTCATATGGCTAATGGATTGAGGTTGAATCCTGACAAGACAGAAGTACTGTTCTTGGGGGACAGGGGGCGAGCAGATGTGGAGGACTCCCTGGTCCTGAATGGGGTAACTGTGCCCCTGAAGGACCAGGTGCGCAGCCTGGGGGTCATTTTGGACTCACAGCTGTCCATGGAGGCGCAGGCCAATTCTGTGTCCAGGTCAGATGTCTACCAGCTCCATCTAGTACACAGGATGAGACCCTATCTGCCCACAGACTGCCTTGCCAGAGTAGTGCATGCTCTGGTTATCTCCCGCTTGGACTACTGCAATGCACTCTACCGGAGCTACCTTTGAAGGTGACCCAGAAACTGCAGCTAATCCAGAATGCGGCAGCTAGACTGGTGACTGGGAGCAGCCGCCAAGACCACGTAACACCGGTCTTGAAAGACCTACATTGGCTCCCAGTACGTTTCTGAGCACAATTCAAAGTGTTGATGCTGACTTTGAAAGACCTAAATGGCCTCAGCCCTGTATACCTGAAGGAGTGTCTCCACCCCCATCGTTCAGCCCAGACACTGAGGTCCAGCGCCGAGGGCCTTTTGATGGTTCCCTCCCTGCGAGAAGCCAAGTTACTGGGAACCAGTCAGAGGGCCTTCTTGGTGGTGGTACCCAGCCTGTGGAACGTCCTCCCATCAGATGTCAAGGGGATAAACAACTATCTGACATTTAGAAGACATCTGAAGGCAGCCCTGTTCAGGGAAGTTTTTAATGTGTGACATTTTAATGTAGTTTTAATCTTTGTTGGAAGCCGCCCAGAGTGGCTGGGGAAACCCAGCCAGATGGGCGAGGTACAAATAATAAATTATTATATGACTGACTGCCATGGTGCTCAAGAAATGCAAAAAAAGGATAAGAGAGCTATCAATGGCTACTAGTGGTGATGGACTGGCTTTGGCAGGCACTGACAAGGACCAGAGCCTTCGTCCTTATCTTTCCTCAGCTGAAACTGAAGAATTCTGTGCATTATGCTGGCAACACCAGCAGGGCATTTTCTCAAAAGACAGAATATATTTATATGCACGTGCTAACTGGACTTTCAGGCAGCAAATCATCCAAAGTAAGCAATACATTACAGCAAAACAGTAATAGAATTTATATATATATATATAAGAAAAGCATGTGAGGGGAACAAACAGCAGGCCCGGGACCTGGGACCACGCTAATGAATCCCATTATTCATCACCCTCTTAATGGCTCAGCCATGGATAACTTGCATAATTCAATTGTAAAGAGGCTTCATTGAAACAGATGGAGCCTGTCAGGACTTTAATGTGCACCAATGTGCATTTCGCATGGCTAACCAGGCTGACAAGGGCACTGCCCCACCCATTTGAGAAACTGCACTCATCCTACCCAAATTCTGTTTTGTTGTTGTTGCTAACAACACACACAAACACACACGCATAGAGATTTTCCCTACAGATGCATTGCCCTGGGACACATGAAATGGAGTGCAGATGAAGGGAAGTATTAAAGGTAAAGGGACCCCTGACCATTAGGTCCAGTCATGGCCGACTCTGGGGTTGCAGCACTCATCTCGCTTTATTGGCCGAGGGAGCCGGTGTACAGCTTCCGGGTCATGTGGCCAGCAGGACTAAGCCGCTTCTGGAGAACCAGAGCAGCGCACGGAAACACCGTTTACCTTCCCACTGGAGCGGTACCTATTTATCTGCTTGCACTTTGACGTGCTTTTGAACTGCTAGGTTGGCAGGAGCAGGGACTGAGCAACGGGAGCTCACCCCGTCGCGGGGATTTGAACCGCTGACCTTCTGATTGGGAAGCCCTAGGCTCTGTGGTTTAACCCACAGTGCCACCCACGTCCCTAAGGGAAGTAATAGGACTGCTTTATTCTGCCTTGGTCTGATCCCCCTGGAGACCTGTGTCCAGTTCTGGTTACCACAGTTGAAGAAGGCTATTGACAGCCTAGATGGTGCACATAGGAGGGCCACCAAGATGGTCCGGGATCTGGAAACCAAGCCTTATGCAGAACAGTTTAGGGAGCTGTGGAAGCCTGGAGAAGAGATGGTGGAGAGGAGAAATGATTGACATCTTTAAATGTCTAAACTGGGCTGTCACATACAAGATGGACCAAGCTGGTTTTCTGCTGTTCCAGAAGGGAGGACTCGAACCAATGGCTTCAAGAAAGGAGATTCCAACTCAACATCAGGAAGAACTTGGTGACAGCAAGAGCTGTTCGATAGTGGAATGGTCTCCTTCGGGAGGTGGTGGACTCTCCTTCCTTGGAGGTTTCTAAACAGAGGTTGGATGACCATCTGTCATGCATACATTAGCTGAGATTCCTGCATTGCAGGGGGTTGGACTAGATGGCCCTCGGGGTCCCTTCCAATTCTGCAGTTCCATGCAGCTAAAATGCAGCCTGGCACGCCCCTGCTTCTTCCCCCTCCATTTGTTAAGCTCATCTCACCCGTCCTCTGGCGCCATAATGTCCTGCGTTTCACACCATGAGCTGCTGGGAGTTACAGTTGGCTTTCCCAGGTCATCTTTGCTGTCCATGCTGGTGGTTGCCATTCATGAAAGGGTGTCTTGCCCTCGCTCCATCTCGCTGGCACGCTGTGAAATTAAGAAAAGAAAAACGGCAGGAAACTGAGCTAACAAAACAAGTTTCCCAAAACACACTCACACCCCGGCATTTCCAAAGCAAAGCATAGTTCTCCTTCAGACGAAATTACTATTATTTCCATTAAGTGCGTCCTCCACCGGGGATGGCGATTTGCTTCGTTGGTTGATTTAAATCATCTCTCCCATCTCGTCGGGCTCCGAGCCCTGTACTCATGTTCCAGTCTCCATAGAAACAAGATGCGGTTGGTTTTCACTCAAATGCTACCATCAAAAGCGATGCGCTCCAGCATTGCCTAAATAGCAGCTCCGCTCTGCAGACACACAT